AAACAGAAAATAAGGATAAAATAAATATTACCCAAAACATATTGTACTTCTTTACATTCTAAAATATTTTATGACTGTTTGACTAACTTGTATCACTAGTTTTTTTCTTCTGTTGTCTACAACAGTCTTTCTCTCTAATTTAATAATTATTCATTCCCGGAAAAAAGCGCTGTACGTTTTGCAACATGTATTTTTCCCAACAACAATGATACATCCATGGTTACACTATGCTATTGTTGTTTCTTTAACTATTTAGAGGATTGAATTCGTTACCATTGAGATATTAACAAAAGGAAAAAAATATAAATTCACATACTTTCCTTAAAAATATTCTATTTTTAATTGAATTGTCTTTATAACACGTTTATCAAATATCAGGAAAGACAGAAAAAAAGTGGTGATATTAACTAATGAATTCATCTATATGCTCAATGAACACATTTGTCCGATGAGAAACAACTGCGTCTGCTTATTTCATATATAGTCAACGTAGGCATTGACAACAACAGGAATAAACACATATTCTATTGTTTTTCATTGATTTTTGTCGATGACGTGGAATATTATCTTATTTATAATATTTTCGAAATAAATACCATTGTAATTAAATATTTTTTTCTTGTATATTAATGTAGCCTTACTATGTTGTCGAATGAATTATATTCTAACTATAGAAATTTCAGCTAAAATGGTGTTCAACCTATAAAAATTGTTTCTATCAAAGACATTACTCATAACATACACTTAACTACATTGTTTTAATCATCTTCCCTTTTTTGGGCTGGTACTCGCTTCGTTTGACTTTAAACAAATGATATTTTTTTCTTTTTTTCCGTCTTCGCGTTTTGTATAACTCACATGTAAAAATGTGAGTGTAAGTTATAATTTCAAGTTTGGTGGCTACCTCCTCCTCTCATCCTAAAGAGAAAAAACATAAGATTTTTTAATGCTTCATCAAAAAACTCAATGTTCAATCAAATTCATTAGAAATATCGTTTCTTACGAGAGAAAACGATTTAAATTTTTGAGTGTATTACGATTGGGAACATATTTTCTGTTCAATAGAATAAATGAAATGGTCAGTTCGTAAAATAAATAAGTTTTCAAAAAATTTTTGAAATCAGTCAATTGAATTAAAATGTAATTACAACATGATCGAAACATGTTATAGCATCATTCTCACACCTTTCCACTCCTCACCAACTCTTGATTGAACGAGACCCATTCACATTTAATGTAAAAATATTTATTGCAGAATCAATAATATCTTTAGAATTATAGACTTTATGGTATCAAACCAAGAGGGAATAAACTGATTTCCTGATTTCATTTTCGTGATTTCTGTTGATTTCTGGTATGGAGATCAGTTTATTCCCTCTTGTGGAAAAATCAAAAATGACAAAGATCGACTTTATTTCTGGAGGATAGTTTGAAATATACAAAATAAAAATTTTAGTCAGATCAAATCAAGTCAAAGAGTGCTTGCCCATAGCATAATTGAAAAACTGATTTTGAGAAAAAGTCAGAATAATCTGTTATAAAGAGCTTCTCTTACTTTTCATCATATTATAAATATAAAATAAAAAACTATGATGACAAGATTATTCACAACTATGCCCAAACGATTGTTGATGATACAATTAACTATGGGAAAAAAATTTCATAACATACTAAATGTTGATGTAAGTACAAGGAAGTAATTGAAACATACTTTGAAATATTTCTCATTTTGTGATTTTATTATATATATAAGAAGAATCAAAAGCGTATTTCTTTCTTCCTATTTTTTTATGGTTATTGTCAACAACAGTAAAGAATCGATAACAAAGTAATAAAGATTTTAGTTTTAAAGTTTAATATTTTCATATCATCATAAATATTCTAAAGTACATCATAGTTTACACTTATTTGTCAAATGTAGAAATTAATTCATTAACAGCATTAAATATTGAGTCTGAATGAAGTTGACTAATCTGTCTATTTTCAGTATGAAAAGAATTACGTAATATGTAAAATGAGTAATAATCAGTTATTAATCATCTCTTCCGCATTATTCACAGGAGATTTTCGCGTTGTTCAGGCTAACAATGACTTTTAATGATCTTGTTCTAATATTGGGCATGTCTAGAAAATAAAATCTTCTGCTCGAACTCATCTACTCAAGTTATTACATGATCTTCATTGTTTTATAACAGAGTCGAATGTTTATATATGGCGCTTTTAAATATTATAAAATACAAAACAACATATGACTTTAATAAGTAAATTCTTCAAAGTCAGTTCTCTTAAAATACCATTATTATCTTTTCTACAACGATAACATATCTCATGTCTGAAGGATTACAAATATTCTTTTAACAATATGATAATGAATAATATAAGATATGTTACGTTACCTACGAACATTATTTATCATTACTCATTTTTCATTCCTCTTTCAACGTGAATCAATAGGAAAAAACCTTACCATCATTTGTTTTTTTTTCTCTTCCTTTTTTTTCGTGGAATCACACATGCAAACACATACAAGCTCTTTTTCTTTTCTTTTTCTTTTCATTTGTATTCGTTGTCTTGCGACTACAACACACAATCGTACATAAAATACCATTGAATATATACCTACATTAATTAGTACACAGACTAGAAAGGACATCATCGATTGTCAAAAACTGATTGTTTTTTCATTGGATAAAAAACCCAAGAAAAAAGACATACTGTTTATTTGTTATCAAGAGAGGACACAAAAGCACAACTATTCCTTTTTTCCAACATTACAAACGTATATATATATATATACGTGGGTTTTTTTCTTATTTATATAGATATAAAATTTATTATGCCTCGACAACGATCAAAAATTACCCAACGTAAAACAAGTATGAAATAGTTTAATATAAATCTTATTTATATATTTGATCTTTTTTTTTCCCAGAACGTAAAGATATACTCAATATTGAACTAGACATGAAATGCAGGTAATATTAAAAACATATTTTAAATGATGATAATAAAATGAAACTTATTTTAGTTGTTCACAATCAGAAAATAATGGATTTATTCAAGTATATTAGATTTATACATTCGAACATTGTATTTACTTATTTGATTTAGTTTGCGCGACGATATCTTCAATGTCAAAGTTCAATGCCGATTCGGAGTATTCGATCATTCATTGAAACGATATTACCTTATTCAAAAATGATAAAAGTAAATATTATCATGAGTAAGAAAAAAAAGTTGATGATGAAAATTTGTTTTAGGTATCAATATTTGATATAAATAATCGATTATTAAAAGATTCAGATCGACTTTATAGTTTAAAACATACTTGTTCCTCATCAAATTACATTCCTCTTCGTTTTACTCTGACAAATACTATTACGTCTCTAGCTAATTGTTCATGTATATCACCATCAACGGAATCGAATTCGTCATCTTTACCAACAATAATTAAACAGGAAAACATCAATCAAATACTTTCAACATGTGCTATTACTCAGCAAATATCGAGATTTTCAACAAATCTATCATCATTACCTCTTTCAGATCGATCCAAAACGACAAAAGATTTTGTTAATGTTTTACAACCATTGCCAGTGGATATCGGTTTAGATCTTAATCAAGAAATGATAGATCGTATAACTACAGAATTTGGTGAAATATGTCCATCATTACCAACATTAAAACGACATTCAGATAATCAGGATTACTCATCAGATCATCCTCTTGATTTAAGTATGAAAAAACATTCATTATCTTCACAATCAAAATGGATTAAAACATAATTTATTTATTTTATTATGAACAGTATGTCAAAAAAAAATTTTTTATTGTAAAAACAGTGACACCAACACTCTTTTTTTTCTTTGTTAAACATAGATTCGAGAAAATAACAGATCTTTAAGTTATTATGCAAGAGAGAAGCATTTAACTAAAGAATAAAAATTAAATTTCAGTTTTCATCATATATGTAAAAATTGCATCATAAATTTTCTGACCATGTAATTTCATCAATAAATCGAATGACGAGAAATAAAATTCATTCTTATAAGTAATTACGTAAATCGAATAAAATATTTCAAATTTATAAAATAACTCTAAGACAAATCTCAACATTAAAATAATTTCTGTTTATATACTTTTTAAACGACAGTATAGCATCTGTTGTATTCACTAAGATTAACGTGTTATGAAAATCTTACGATTCATTGGTAAATCGTACTTTACATGCTTCAAACAGTGATGCCAACTGTCATAGTCAGAAAATCGGAATTCTAATGTAAAAATCCGGAAACTTTTTTTGTTAAATCGGGAAAGGTTTTTAACAGTTAATTTCTACCGGCTAAAATAAATTTCTCTAAATCTTTTTCTCAATTATAACACTTATTATTTCAAAAAACACATGTTTCAATATATCAAAAGAAAATCAACATTAAAATTCGAAATATAGTAAACTAAATATATAAGTATAAGCCACTGAGCCGCTGTCAAATAAAAATCTTTTTTTTGAGGATTAATAGATAAATAAAATTTAGTTCAGTAAAAATAATCTGAAATTCGGAAAAAATCTAGAAAAAGTGGGAAAATCTGGAAGAAATGGCAACACTAGTTTCAAACCTAAATTAGACGTACTTTGAATGGAAAGAAAATGTTCGCATGTACAACTAGTTCACTAAACTGACTTCGATAACTTTCTTATTCAATTATCTGACTAAGATCTATTTATTAAATATTTAATTTTTATCACAAACATACATTCTATTCTTTTCTTCAAGAAAAGATTTAGGATTAAATTTAAATTATGTACCTTTGAGAGACATAGTCCTCTAATGAAATGCGTTGCGTTTAGATAATACTGACTCCCACAGTCGATTTCGTTTATTGGAATCAGTTGGTCTATATAGATGACAGTGAATGAAGACAAACTATCCACACATGGAATCTACCCTAAGTGATGACAAGCGAGAAGGAAACATCATCTGTGAAATCTTTATAAGAGAAAAGAGAATGATTCATATGTGCGAAGAAAGAAAAATCCTTCACATACATATCATAAGGGAAAACATCAAGAACGTCAAAACAGAAAGAGAATACATTCGTGTCTAATAACCTTTAAATAATAGAAATCAATAGAACTCTTCTTTTCATGTATGTATATATTTTGTAATCTTTTTTCTTAATAGAAATTCTATATGTAAACATGAAAATATGTATATAGCATTGCATTCCTTTCGATGAAAAGAAAACCGTTATAATTAGATTGATTCTTCAAGTTATTAATTCAAATTGAATAATAATATTAATATTTCATTATACTATTTATTATTTTTTAAAATGAAGAAATAGTGCAACATAAATCAAAAATAAATATAGTGCGTTAAAATAAAAGAACCATTCTTTTGTATAAAAAAGAAATGGAAAGCATCAATAAAAACAAGACGACAAAGAAAAAAAGCTCGGCTTTATGTTATCCTTATTATTAACAATACATTTGAATGATTAGAATATCTGTTTTCTTTTTATATAGTTATATAGATAATAGAAACGATATTTCTGAGATTCCAGCTCGTAGATATATATATATAAGATATAAAAATATTGTTAAAAAATTATTGGATCAAGAGAATAAAAAAGAAGCGATGGAAAAAATTGCGGTGACTATTATTTTTGATATTGCTGATGAAGACGAATTCGATTAAACTGTTATTTGACCAGGCATAGCTATTGATGTTGTATTAGCATTTATTGGAGGTAAATCATTTGCATCAACCGATGTTATAATATGATTTTCACTATTAGTATTTGATTCTTTCTTTCCTAAAATTAAACAATATTTTCAATGAACATTTTAATTTAAAAATTTCAATACTGAATGGTATTATTCCTTTCGAAGGTTGTTCACCCCTTGAAAGTATAACATTATGTTGATTAAATTGAACCCAACGAATACAAAGCTAAAATGAAATTATTTTTATAAAAAATCTCTTCCGTATTTCTGATTATTGAATAGATTATCTTACTCGAAAATACACTATTAATTGAACATAAAGAAAGACCTTTGAAAACAAACGAAAATTATTTTATTCTTTCTTCTTTCCATTCTTACCCATGCTGCAATAACAATAAAACTGAATTTTGTCCAAAACGGCCAATCTGTAAAAATAAAAAGGTATACTTTATTCTAAATTTTTATTCAACAAGGTTTTTGTTTAACATACGAGGTTTTCCATCTTTTATTTCGTTTCTTGATTTCTCAATTAGTATATATCGTGTCCAGAAAATAACAAGAACAGCAAATAAAATGCATGGAACTGAAAATATTATTTTACATCGTTGACAAGCGGTCATATCTAACATTTTCCACTAGCAAAAAAATAATATAAACTAAATATTAAATGAATTGTTTCTATGCATTTATTTACTTCTTTAAATGGTTTCAGTTCTGAATGTTTAACATATTCATATCGACAACGTTCACATAATTTAGCATCAGCATTTTTCATCCAATGTTGTAAACATGATTGATGTACATATTTCATTGTATCAACACAATAACAAGGAGATATTAATGATTTATTAATTGTACCTTCATGATGACATATACGGCACACACCAGGATAATCATTAGTTTTAGAACTTGTTGATAATAATGGATTTGTATTTAGTACTTCTATTGGTATAAGAGGAGTTTCTACTATGAAATTTGATGTAGTCGCTTCTTCATCCAGATTTATTGAAATCTTGTTTTTTTTTGAAATTAAGATGAGAAATTAGTAAAGTATTACTTTTATTAACTTACTGATTTATTAATTGGTACTTCACTTCCTTGGCTTTCCATATCAATTTATATGAAAGTCATAACTGTTCTCTATATAATAGAAAAATTTTATATTAAATTAAACGATTGAATTGAATAGATTCGACTTTACTTTCATTGACACATTGTTGTTGAAAGGAATACTTTATATTAGATGGAATGTCTGAACGCCATTATATAAACAAAAGTTTGACAGAAAAGAAGGATTTAGCTCGCTGATCAAGACTGACATCTGAAGGATAAATACATAATCCGCTATTCTCAATCCTAAACCGCATGTATTTATATCGGTATATTCAATAATTAAAAAATCATATTATGATAATTTTTATTGATTTGACTTTACAAAATTAATATTTTCCAATTATTAACGGTGGGATAATATCTCTTATGAGTTTCTTCTATTTACACTAGTATGTAACATATAAAAAACTAGATAAGTGGCTTTTAAGTTATTTTTAGAGTATATATGATTCATAGAATTAAAAATTTCATCGTAAATTCCGTTTTCTTTTCGTGATAATTGAACATTTGCTTGCCGGATTGTATACGAAAACTCTTACAGAGCTTTATTAAATCTGAATTAAAGGTAATATTTATACACTATACGATTATCGAATGATTCGCTTCTTGCAGTTCATGGTAGTCAATATTTTGCATTTGTTAGTTTATTAGTACGCATCATTTGGTTTGATTAGAATATCAATGATCGAAACTGAATCGCTTCTATTTAGTTTTTTTTTAAATTTTGTTCGTTTAATATAATGCCGTCATAGAGGTAAACTGATACGGATGCCTCAATCGATCCTATACTAATCTCGTTTTCAAGTCGGATAATTATTGAATTAGTTTTTTAACAATGTAACCAAAGAAATATTTCCTCAGTCATTCTCATTGATAATGTAATGGCTAGAAATAAGTTTGAGATGTGATCTATGCAATCTATAAGGTCATTAAATGTTTTTCGACATTAAAAAAAAATTCAAAAGTACTTTTTAATAGGGGCCTCATAGTTTTTTAACCTATCAGGTTTATAAATAGATTATTTACATCAGCAGCTTTACTTTATCTTTATTCTTCTTTAAATATAGAACAAAGATAAATAAGAGCTTTATACTTAAAAAATAAAGATAAAAATTTTTTATGATGATAAGAGATTTTGTTGTTGTACAGGGTATTTGCATATGTAATTATTGCATGGAAAAAAATATATCTTTATTTTGTAAAAAAAAAGGAATTCAGCACGTATAGATGAATAAAGATATAAGATGAAAGCAGATCGAGAGAAAGACATACAAATAATTTTTCATAAAGAAGAAAAAAAATTATTAATTATATTTTGGTTTACTATAAAGCTATATTATTATATAAAAAAAATTATTTTTCAATTGAACAAGTTCATCAAAGAAATATTGATTAGTTCTGTGTTTTTGTTTTTTTCAAATAAAATTATAATCCTGTTTTTTCATCATGAAGCATTTCTAAATAAACTCCATTAGTCCATCCAAAGCCATCTTGTGTTTCATATTCACCACCACCAGCTGGTTTATCAGTATCTACAACATCATATTTTTCCATCATTTTACCAGTTTCTTTAAAAACACGTTCATTCAATGCCATCCATCGTTGACGAACAGTTCGAGCAAGTTTTTCATAACCGGGAGTTTGGAGTAAAGCACGATAACCAATATATTCAAGTGGTGCCCATCCATTCGGACTATCCCATTGTTGTGTACTTTCTTTCGAAAGTGTTGTTACAAGACCACCATCACGTAAAAATAATGATTCAACTTGTTGAGCAACTTGCTGTGCTTGATCTGCTGTTGAAACATTTAACCATACTGGATAAAGACCAGCTAATGTCATTTGATTTGTTTGTTTTCTTTTAACAAAATTATAATCAGTAAAAAATTTTAATTCATCCGACCACATATATTTATGTATAGCATGACGACGACGTTTAGCTTCCATTGTTTTACCTAAAGCTAATTCTAAATGATATAGTAAACAATTAAGATCAATTGGAAGAATATCTGCAGTTTTTATTGTTGATAAATCATTTTCATCTTCCATCCATCGTGAACTAAAATCCCAACCTGATTCAGCACCTGCACGTAGATGAGCATATATATCAGTTGTATGTGCTTTATGACTTGTTTCTGTATCTTCAAGAAAAGCTTCAGGTCTTGGTTTACTACTTAAATCATCATAATATCGATTAAGTATACTTCCATCATCAAGTGTAATCGCTCGTTTTTTCATCCAAAATTTATATTCAGTTTCTAATTCAATTTTATATTTATCGGTTTGTCCTAATAATTCTGTCATTAATACAAAAAATGGTGGTTGAGAACGGCCACTATAATAATAACGATTACCATTTGGAATATGTCCAATAGTACGAATTAAATATGCAAAATTATCTAGCATATTATTTAGTAATTCAATTTCATTTGATCTTACTAAACCTAACATAGTAAAATAAGTATCCCAATAATAAAATTCTCTAAAACGTCCACCAGGCACAACAAATGATTGTGGAACATCGATTAAACTTGAATATTTTTCTTTTATTATTGTTCGTGTTAATAAGGGCCATAAACGACGACAATGTTCTTCAATTGTCCATTTCATATCAATAATAATCGTTGTATCTGGAATACTAAAATATTCAAAAATAAATGTAGATAAATTAAATGTTGGTTTCATTTTTTCTTCACGATATAATTTAAGAATTTCATTTGGTGTTAATTTCGTTGGAACAGAATCACAAAATGTTTTTGAATCAGAAAATACACGTGAAAGTTGAACATCTTCAAATAGTTCTTCATAGATGACATCAGGTGATTGTGCCATGACTGAAAAAATGATCGAAATAATGATTATTAAATGTTGATTCGTCATGTCAATATTATGAGAAAAGTAGAAATGTCTATGATTACAAAACATATACGAATGTTTTATTTTGAAGATTACGAATATAATATATTCTTATAACATTTACTCAGTATATGAAAATTAGGATTAATTGGTTTTAAATATCTGGGGAGTGGTCATATTAGTACAACGGGTGATACCTTGTTTTTTTTTTGTATTTATAAGTAATCGAAAGAAATACAATAATACTAATAGTTTTACTAAGAAAGACGGACGGTTTTACTTACTCAGTTTTTTTTTATTTGACATTAAAGCTACTGGATTCATCCTAAGATATACATATAAGAAATGGATAGAATAATCAATACATTTAAATTTATTCAAAATTTAACCTTTAACCCGTTTTTTACTCTATGCAAAACAAAAGGTGTTTTGAATAATTAACTAAAAACAATATTTGAATACAGAAGGCGGTTTATCTTGTATTAAATTTCCAATGAGTATGAAATGAATTCTTAATAATAAATAACCACATTTTTTTTGTTCTGCTATTGAAAAACAAATGTCATTTGATTTAGTCCAAATACAAAAGAACTGAATTGACTTACACAGAAGAATTAAAAATATTTTTTGTTCTATGTCTAATAAATGATTCATCCTTTTTGATTCAAAATAGGATATAACGTCTATCAGATAAAATATTTTCAAACTATAAAATGTAACCGTGAATATGTTTATTTATTTATTTAATTAATTAGAAATCCAATAAATACCGTCGTCATGATTGGATTATTAAAGACACTCATTTATAATTGAGGTATTCAATGGAAATATTATTAGTATAAGAAAAAAATGGTTAAATTCAAAATATCTTGTTATTTTGAATGTTAATGATAGTTCAAAACTAATTCTGTAATCATATCACCTATACAGATATATAATAAATATGACATGAAAAGTCAAAATCCAATGTTTGTATATATATATACTTTCATTATATATAAATAATCAAATAAAGTCTCATACAGATCTCTTGATATTTATACAACAGCAAGAGAGAAATATTCTATCAAGAACAAAATACGATGTCAAAGGGTAAATAGAAGAATAGCAAAATATATGGACCTCGAACAACGTATACTGATGAAAACAATAAGAAAGTAGATAATCCATACATCTGATAAAACGCAAGGCATAGAATAGTTAAAGTCATTGATATACTATATGATTAAAATAATTTTCCCTAAGAAATGTAGATAAGCATTTATCTCGATGATATATATATAATAAGTAATGATTATTCACTCACTTAATAGAATATAAAATTAAAAACAATTTATCTACGTAAGTTTTTTCAATAAAATTACCTGCTGTTTTTCTTTCTTTCTTCCTTCTCTGATATGCGAATGTTATGAACAACAAATGCATGTATGATAACAAAGTATCTTTTTTTTCATTATCGTTTATAAACAACAGAACGAAAAAATCAAAGTACATCATGTTGCATTTTTATATCTATTCATAATAGTAACAGTGTCATTTTTATTCCAATATATTAAAACAAAAAATTAATTATACATGATAACATTTTCTATTCTTCACAGCGACATATTATGTCAATAGAATTGTAGCCAATTAGTGAGAATTATCATATAACAACAATGTAAACTCGTTGCTTTCTTTTTTTTATCTTCATTTGCCATGTGTTTTTGTTTTCTTCTATTCTTTTATTATTCATCATGACTAGGATGTATGACGTTATTTTAACTGTTTGTTCTCATTCGTTTTATAGATATGTGTACATCAAATATTGGTAATATAAACGATAAAGCAAAATTTATTCGAGCTGTTGAAGAAGCTTTTTTTATTCTTGATCGGAATAAAAATCGATCTGTAAATCCAGAAGATTTTTGTGCTATTGCAAAATCTCTTGGAATAGAATTAGATTCTAATGAAGCTTTATTACTTCTTCGTACAGCTCTTGGTGAACAAACAGATGATCATATACCTGAAACAACATTAACTGTTGATCAATATTCAGCATTAATGCTTCGTCATGTTGGTTCAATCGAATTAAATGATGAATTACGACAAACATTTGATGTTTTAGATCGTGATCATGATGGTAAAATTTCTCGACACGATATGAATCAATTACGACAAGAAAGTGAATTTTTTGATACACTCGATGATGAACAATATGAATTAATTATTAAAGAATTATTAATTCATGGAAATAATGGAATTAATTTCGATCAATTTGTTCGTTTAATGATGCAATAATATTAATATATCTAGATATATATACATATAATTTTTTTCTTAATAAAATAATTTAGAACTTGTTTCATTCGAATATATATTTTCTTCATCTTCGAAACTATAATAAATATACTATTCATCGGATATTCTGTATGTATTCTATAACGAATATTTCATAGATCATAAAACTGGATGAAATTAGTTTATGAGTAAAAAATCAACACTCGAATAAGTCCTTCAAATGTTATGTTATGATGAAATCTTGTTTTATATTAAGAAATTTTAACTTGAAAAAATGCTCATTTACAAAAAAACGATTTATAGTCTATAAATATACATATTAATCTGATTACAAAAAGATCTTGCGTATAATTCGTATACATATATATATATATCATTCAACGCTTTTAATTACTTTATTAAGCCTTGTCTACTTCGTATATGAATCATGGTAAGTCTTTTTCTTTTATATTCATTATCAGCTGTTTAAAATTTGTTCTTCAAATGTCTCTTTCGTACAAAATCCAACTGAACATACAATTAGTAATTCATATTAAGTATAAAATAAACAATTATAAATAACTACCAATCGATTTCTTTAATACCATACTTTTATATAAGATATTTCCAATATTTTACTACAAAATATAGAAGAATTCATGTTGATGAATTTTCAAAAACAAATAATCAACATAGTTTTACATATGTATTTTTATTATTACAAAGAACGAGGTCATTTAATAGTCTATCATTCAAATCTCCTATAGATACGTTCATTACTTAGTTATGAGCTAATTACATCGAATTACAAAGCTCATAAAACATCTCGCATTCATATATCGATGCGATCAGAAGTAATTTACCATCTGTTTATAGTACAATTATAATATGACATAAAATTTCATTGTAATGATTGATATTAAATAAACTTCATATATAGGATTATCAAAAGTCACTACATGATGAACAAAACTTATTAGAAAATATTTTGTATAACAGAAAATGATTAAAAACAGTTATGTAATATTTCTTACTAACATATTGATTAAAATTTGTCATGAAAAAATTAATTTCTAACAGATTCGATACTATTTTTCGTTTTCGTAATATTTAAAAAGAATAGATACGATAGAATGTTTTTATTTAATATCTAGTTTAACAAAAAAAATCTGTTTCGAGTATAATACTTAACAATAAAAGACAATAAAACTGTTTTTAAACTTTAAACTACTTCTTTAATTTTATCAGTTGTTTCATTATATTCTGTTTTGCCAAGTTGATTTTCCATTGCTTTAGCACATTTTTTCATAAGAGGTTTCCATAATGGTTCATCATTAATAAAATATTTCATTAAGATACACATAATAATCATTGATAATATGACATCCTTATCTATAGCTTTATAATCATTTAAGATTTTCTCCCAATCATCATTTTTCAATAATATAGTTACAGTACTTTGTTGTAATAATGTCATTATTTGTTTGAGATCATTAATCGACCAAAGTCCACTAAAATTTTGTAAGTTGATCATTTGTCGAATGACATCTGACGATTCAATATCATCCTTCTGTTGATTATTACATAAACTTTCGTCATTAAGGCCCTGAGAATCATCCGAAATTGATAATTCGCGTCGTCTATGATGACGACGACAATCATCACGTAAGGGCGATCTTGAACGAGATCTTGACTTGCGAGCTTTTGCATGGTAGCTCGGGGCTACACTTCGTTTGCATTTCTTTATCGAGCGCGAGCGTCTGGATATTTTTCTAAAAGACCTGTGACTGCAATAGGCGTTTGCGTTAAAGTTGTCTGAACAATCGTCTTCTTCGTCTTCTTCATCGATAGAAATACTATTGCACGAGCTTGAGGGTGTGGGAGTATTATAATCAATTGAGAGGCTCTTCTTATCACTAATTTCGATTGGTACTTCTCGAAGAATCATTTTACCAGATGATTCTGCTATCTCTTGTTCAGTGCGTGTTTCGATACCGATAAATGCTGTGAATGGTGAAAGAATTTGATGCTGAATTGAAATATCGATCAATTCTTGTTTTTTATCTGCTTTTTGTTGTTCAATAAAGCGTTCTTGACAAGATGATTTTGAATTATAATCATCTGTTTGAAGATCAGTTATTATTGACTTAGCTGCTAAACGTGTTGCGATCAATGATGGCAATGGTTGAGTTTCTTTGAATGTAACACGTTCGAGTATATTATCCTAGAAAAAAAAACATAATATATGAGAATAATACATATTAAAGAAGATTACTTACAGTTTCTGTACGAAATTCAATAGATCCTGAAATTGTTCCTTCGACACTCTTTGGCATCATTATATAAATATTAAGTCGTTGTTTAGCAGAAATAGGCGGCAAGTTTTTGGGTGATATTCAATAATCTTTCAATTCATTATTATCAAAATGACATTGAATTTTAAGATTAACTAAACATGGTTGAAGTGCTTTGTCTAATTGTCGAGCAACAGCCGTATCAACATGCGTATTTGGTGGAATAAAAAGAAATGAACCATTTGTAACTCGAGCTAGACCTTTGACTAAAGCACGACTTGGTGCAGAACCAAGACCGAATGAAAAAATTCGTGTTGTACTTGACATGGAATAACATAGACGAAGTACTTCATCAACATCATCTATTTCACCATCGGTTAAAAGAAATATCTGACGTGAATAATTTGTTTTCGGTGGAGTCATTTGTAAATGAGAAAGAACGGAATAAAGTTCTGTTCCACCTAAATCAGCCTAAAATAATGAATAAATTTCAATATATGACAGAATAAAACTTAAATTATTTTACCTTCATATCGGTAATATATGTCATAGCATTTTTAGCACTTTCTTCGTTGTATTCAATAGTTATTTGATTATGATTAAATTGTTCATATGTGGAACCAAATCGAAATATATTAAAATAACTTCCAATAGGTAAACTTTTAATAAAAATGGACATTGCCTGTCGAGCATAATCGATTTTATTCTCTCCAGCCATAGATCCGCTACAGTCGACTACAAAAATATATTCACAATTAATTTGTTCCATTTTATTGCTGGTATGACATAATTCCAATGTTGGTACTAATGATACCATAATTGCTTGTTTTTCAACAAGAGTATATGTATGAATTTGTTGTTGTTTAAGATCCATATTAAGAATAATATCACGATCAAGATGTGTATTTTCTTGAACGAGAGAAGCATTCATTCTTGGATATTGATTATCATTTGAATCTATTGTAACTTGAATTGGATGAGATGGTGAATTAATCGATACTATAGGTAATGATGCAATCGAACAAGAAAATGATATTGTATATGGTGCAGATTGTACATATTTTGATGTTGTTGTTCCAGGAGATTTTATATGACCATCACCAGCAGATATTGAACTATATCGTGGTGCAATTGCAGTTGGTAAAACGAATTGTATACGTTGACCATCATCAATTAATTCAAGTTCTTGTACATAACGAATTTCAATTTCACATTTTGCTTGTGGTTTAAGTGAACCTATATAATAAAAATAGGAAAAAAAAACAAAATAAGAAAATAGAATTTTTTTTGGTAATAAATACTTACCAACACTGATAGTAAATATATCATTGGATTTTTCATCTTGTTCAAGTAAAAATGCTCCATGTCCTTGTTGTAATGCATTACAATATTCACGTTGTGCTGATTTCTTTTCTTTAATTTGAGCTTGAATTTTTCTACCATCATCCAGTATTGCTTCGAAACTATAAATAGCAGCTTGTTCTTCAATAGGAAAACAATAAACTGCTTCGATTGGAGCTTCTAATTCTTCACTATTGATAAAAATTTGTTTAATACAAACTTCAGCTGCAAATGAATGAATATTAACTTGTACAGCCACATTCTTCAATGGAATAAACCGTTCTGTAGAATATCGACTCGATGTAGATGCTACTTTCAACATGATGTTTTTGATACTAAAATGAATAATTTCATAGTATTTCAGCTTTATATAGGCTTACGTCAAGTCTTGCGGGTAATTGTGCAACAACAAGAAAGAGAAAGGAAGAGAATTAAAAGTAACAAAACGTCGAAATAACAATAAAAAAAAGATATCACTGCCCCCGGTGAGGCTCGAACTCACGACATCCGCATTGCTCCGATACTGTGTATAAGTACGGCGCTCTAATCCAGCTGAGCTACGGGGGCTGTTGAAAGATCTAATTAAATTAGTTCAAATTAAAATGATGAACTTCGTATAATTCGCCTTATCATAAAATCTATAGATATGAATCTGATACGTGATTCGTTGAATTTTTAATAACGAAATATTACAATATTTTCTTATAAATTATGTAACTAAATAATTCAGTTAACTTTTCTTTATCTTATATACTATAATTATTATATCTAATCATCACTTTGTTTCCAATAAGTGTATGTCCTTCGAGTCGTTTTTTATGTAAAAAATTCAAATAAGATGAATATTTTTTTTCGTACCTTGGTCATACATGAATTCATATAACTTTCAGAAAAATGAAAATTCTACATTCTTCTATATATATATATGGACAGAACGTGTGTACACAAGCGATCGTGACACCCTATATCCGGACCCGGAAATGTCGGTAAATCGAGATAATAATATACGTCATTAGTTCTATCTAAGTGACATTAAACACTAAATATGATATATGTATCGGATTAGATATAACTTCCGTTGTCTAGTTATGTTTATTACTAAACAATTCATACTAGTTTGATCCTATCGAATAATGAAATAAACATTGGCCTTTTGTAGTTTTCTGTGTACGTCTTTCAAAAAAATATTTATAATATTAGTATTTTATTGTGATCAAATTAAGATAATTCTTTGTAGGTATTATTCTTTTGAATAAATAAAAAAACAATAAACATATTTTGACACAAATTACAGCAATAATACATTAATTTTCAGAGAATTATACAAACTGATGAATGTCCTGTTGCAACAGGTTGTTCAACATGATGATGATGGTGATGATGATGAGAAACGGATGTTTGATTAAGATTATTTATGTCACTGTTTGATCCACGACGAGTTTCATTATTAGATACAGGAGTTTTTATTTGACGATTATGTATTTCAGTTCGTAATTGGTTAACATCATGCCTTAATTCTGTTATCTGTCCACGAATTGTATCAATTGCACCTTTATTTTGATGAATCGTTATAATAAGTTCAGGATCAAATGGTTTTTGTTGTTCACGGATACTAGTTGATGAAGAAGACTTTCTATTGTTATTGTTATTATTTTTTGTTTTTGGTATTTTATCTATTGGTATTTTATCAAGATCTTTCGATTGTAAATTAAGTTGTGATGTTTCAAAGATTTTGCGTAAAGCTTCCTGCAAAACAAAATATTATTTATTATTAATTTTAATATATATCTATATATGTATTATTTGTGTATAAAATTAGGGAACATCTATAACAACAAACAAACAAATAAGGGTAATTGAGTTAGATTAGATTAAAAATATGAGTAGTTAAATAAAAGTTTATAACTAATTTATTCATACTTCACTTATATATATATGCACTCAATTTCTATTGCTACCGATGCCGGTGCATATCTAGAAGAATGTTTATGTTTAGTTAAACGAGAAAACAAAAAGACATTTATTTTTATATTGAAACAATATATAAATATAAGCAATACAACATTATTAAAACGATTGCTTATAGTTAGAGATTTTATACCTGAGAAACATTCTCTGCCCATAATAAATCTAAAATATATAAAGAAAAAAAAACGAGAATTCTTAACATGTAAAAGTATTTGAATTTAGAAGAAAATCATTTATGCGTAATGAGTATGACGGAAACTAATTTTTTCATATTTATTTGCTATACTCATTGAATAAAGAAGTTCAGAACAAAATGTAGCTTCATCATTGTTTATATTTCTCTTAGAACATCCATTCATTTCTAGTATGATCGGATAACTCATGAAAAATACTATACATTGGTCTTCAGGAGAAAAATGGCAAATATAAGTGGTAGAGACGGACGCTCTGAAAACATTTCTACTTTCATTTTCTTATCAACCGGAGAACCGTTCAGGAACAGCTCAATAGACTTTTCTTGATGGAAACACTCCTTTGAACAATCACTCTCAGTTTTTTAATAGAATTCCTGAGTAGTCAGTTTCTATTGATTTCCGTCTCATTTCTAAAACCTTAATTAATTTTCCATTTTCAATATCGTATAGAAAATTTGCTACAACCTCCTAGGTATTAGAATCGAAAATACAAGTCTATTACATGTCGGCAACTTGATCGCATAAATATTTTTAGGATTTCTAACTGTAGTATTCATATTCGTTGTTTTTCTATTGAAGACCGATGGAAATTAATTCAAAATACACCAATACAGAGTATTTTCCATAAGCTATTCAATCATACTAGAAATAAATGGATTGTCTGTGAGAACTATGATGAGACCAAGATTATAGGAATCTCATATGAAGAGTTGAAGATAAAACATGTATTATCTATTATTTATCATCAATTTTAATTAAATGAACAAATTCTTTTACTAATATATAAACTAATCATATTTTTATATGTTAATGTGAATAGGGGAAATATCTATTGACTACTTTTAATATAAATATATTTACATACTTAATTTATCATGTTCTTGTTGTATTTTTTCCCAATTTTCACGATTTTGTTTACATCCATCATAGAGTGGAGCTAAAAGTGGTTCTGCTTCGGCTAACATCTGAGTAGAAAATTTAAAATAATATAATTTCTTTATTTCTTAAAATAAAAACATACTTTATAAACCGGAAGACAAATTGAATCAATAAAACCAACTAGAAAGAAAATTATTTTCGTTATTATTACAAATTTCAAATAAATAAATAATAACTAACCTTGCATTTTAGGTAATTCATCTTTTTTCGCTCGATCCATCATAGGCTAATAGAATATTAGAGAAATATATATATTTTTCGAAAAATAAAAAGTATAAACATACGATTGGTTCAACATGTAATTGATTTCTTTCAATATCACCTTGTTGAAAAAATTCACTTGCAACAAGTTTAGCAATGACTTGTTGCATTTCCCATGGTTTACAAATAGCTGCTACATCACATGCAGTCATCATCATTCCTCTGAATATATTTTAAAAAAATTCATTCTGTTTTTCTTTTATAATACAATTCTTTTTTTTTCTTTACCTAAGTAAATCTCTTTTTCCCGGATCAGTCCAATGTTCTTCATGATTATCAACGAGTTTTTGAAAATCTCCACGTTTACGAAAATAAAGTGCTAAATCCGTAGATAATATTGCTAATTCAATATAATGAACAACAAGTTTATAATCATCCGGTGATAATGTTTGTAATATATTATTTCCTTCTGTTTGTAATATCATAATACATTGATCAAAATGATGATGTTCAAGTGTTGATGTTGAATATAATTTTGCAAGTGGTGCATCAACTTTTGCTTGAAATGCATTATTTGTACCACGATGATCAAGATCATGACTTAAACATGCTATTAATAAACCCATACGTTCTAAATCACTCATACGCCCATTTATACCACCGGTCTAAATAATAATTTAATCATTTTCTTATAATATCTACGAAATACAAGTACCGCTCGTCTGAAGATTCACTCAGCTCTCTCTCGTAGAAACCGTGTGTCTTCACTACCAGTAAACTATTTAATCAAACAATTTCAAAAAACTAACAACAGACTCGAGTTCCTCAACCCCGATTACCCTCTTAAAAATATTTCTCATATCTTTAACTAAGTCTTGGACTAATCAGTGAAGTGCGGACATACAAGCAAGAAAGTAAACAATTTATTTCTGCTAGACTCTTCTCTCCGAGAAAGAAAATATTTATTTTTCTTACTGTTAACATTGAAAACATTGTTTGTGCAACATTAAATGCATGTCTCCAATTATGATATATAACTGGTCGATAATTTTTCTTTACACTTAACATCCATCGACAAATAACATCATGTGGTATACGAAATTTTTTTTGTAATTCTAATTCCGTAAACATTCGTATACTTGCTAGAACTGTTTCATCATCAGTTAATATCATATCATTAAATTCCCATGAATATAAACGAAGTTGATTAGCTTCAGGAATTGAAATATGCACAATACGTTGAACATCTTCTTCTGATGCAACTACATGATAAGATAACACTTCAAATGCAACATTCTGTTTAGCTGTTAATCGTACAACATTTTCATATTGTCTCGTATTATGTATTCCCAACCCACAAAATACAGAAAAGGCCTACAAAAAAATAATAATTTCATTTATTATTCTTTCTATAAATAATTTACTTCAATAATAGTAACATCATCTTCAGTAAAAACTCGTTCATGTAATTTATTCATTACTTGAGTAACACCAATAACACGTCCATCACCATCCATAATAGGTACACATAAAAGATTTTTTAATTCAAATGTATCATTAACATTTGATATTAACTAAATATAAAAAAATAAGATTTTTTAGTTTAGAAAAACATTTTCCTGTACTAAATGTGTTAATGATTGATTATTTGATATTTCATTTATATTAACTGTTTCCATTGTTGTTGCAACATGATAAGCAATTTTTGCATAACGAGAATTTTCAAGAAAATCATTTCTAAAAATTAATAAATATTTATAGAAGGAAAATTTGTTTTTCTATATTTACGTTGTCACTTTAAATTCTTCACCATAAATCATATCAAAACCTTTGGAAAAATGAATATCCTGAAATGAAATATTAGAAGAAAAAAAGTATACATATAAATCAAAACATACTTCAGGTTTATCTGTTGGTGAGATTGCTCGATCTAAGATATAAACACAGCATCGAGCGCATTGCATAAGACCTTGAGATTCAGTTGTAATTTTATTGACTAAATGTTCAAGATCATCTTGTT